CACATAACATATCCGTTTGCCAGGATACGTTGACGTCTTTGTCTATTATCCACACACGCAGATGTTTAAGTAGTTGTGTGATTCATAAGCTAAAGGCTGTGTGTGTGTGTGACATTTACCAGGATTCGTTCATATCTTTTTATATTATTCATACGCAGATTTTTTAGAAGTCGTGTGATTAATAATCTGAAAGCTATGTGTGTGTGTGTGAGAATCTCCATGTGGAATGATGAGATACGTTTAATTCTCTCACGTAACGGTGTCAGGATGTGGATCGATACAAGGAAATGAACGAATAACAGCAGTACTCGGAGCACGTTCCATTCCGTGTCGCTCGCACTGGTTCGAGGCTTCAACTCCTTTCGCCGAGACACCAGCGCGTTCGATCTCTTCGGATCCTGGTGGCCTTAGGCGTTCTCTGACCCGTCCTTTCATCATTAAAAAAATCACAATAACTTTTAGTCGTTTGTTCATAATGTCTTTTCATACACATGAGCGTGTAAATCTGTGTGGGTGTATATATTATCTAAACACGTGATCCACGAAATCCGTAACGGTTATAGCATAAGGCCTAAAATCACATTGGCTTTCTTCGTAGATGTGTCCTTATGTCTACATACACAAACGTACAGGCACCGATGTTGTATGTGGCTGTATTAATGCTTTCATATAAGTGTGTATGTGTCAATTTATGTCTATTACTCTGTGTGTATGTATTCATTTTTACGTGTGATTGCATATGTGCGTTTTTATCTGTGATTGTTTTGTGTGCATGCTTATTTATTTACGATTGAATGTGTGTACGTTTTTGCGTGTGCGTGTGCCCTTTTTAAGCTGTGTGAATTTCAGTAAATACATGAAAATGAAAGAAAGTCTTGATTTTGTGGCAGCTACAGACCTTGAGCTCGTATAACTTAAAAAGATATGACCTCATTAATACAAGCACGCATGGTCGCTTCTGCAAGACTTGAACTATTACCGCACAGGGTGGCCAGGTCACTGAAATTCTTCATTTGGGAAGGGTTTAGCAGCAGCACAGTTGACAATAAGGTTACCGACGAACTAGAATACTCTGTGAGGTATTTTATTCTTTAATGTACGCATCGACTACAAGTAATATTCTTTCAGTCTTTGCTCCTCCTACTATTACTACTACTACTACAACTACTACTACTGCTGCTACTATTACTACTAATAATAATGATAATAACAATTTACCACTGCTGCTAATACCGCTATAGCTCCTATTATTGCTGATGTCACGTGGGTAAAAGACAAAAAAATATAGAAAAGCAATAGAGATGTATCCCCTCAGGTGGTAAAAGCTTCCTTCCTTGGCCGCACTAACGAGGTACTTGAAGCTCGCCTCACCAGGTCGATGTAATTGAGAAGGCGGGGTGGGGGGGTGGAGGGTGAGGGGGGGGGGGGAGTCGGGATGGAGAGAGAGAACAATAAAACAGAATGGAATAAAGAGGGAATAAAAAGTTTCAGTTACTATTGTTTAGACTGTAATTTTGATTCATTCTAATTTTGATTCATTCAATATTGTTTAGACTGTAATTTTGATTCATTCAGTTAATATTTAGACTGTAATTTTGATTCATTCAGTTAATATTTAGACTGTAATTTTGATTCATTCTGCGCATTTGAATATAATTGGATTTTAACCTCCCACTATATAGGCCTACATCTAGATATTACATGAACGTATAGGCCTACATCTAGATATTACATGAACGGCTTCGTGCTCAGCTGTGGCAAATATTTACACAAAGAACAATATAAACATTCTGTGAGAAAAGTGTTGACAAATGTAGAAAGGTATGATTGAGAATAAAAATTTTCACAATACAAGAGATTATATTTGATCGGTTTCGAACGAGGCGAGATGGCGAGCTCGTTGTGTCCAGTCTTTTAATTTTTCGCCTCTTTTCTCGTTTTTTTCGTCTTCTCTCTTCCTGAAATTTGCCTCTCTCCCCTCCTTACGCCCTTTCTTTTATCCTGTCCCTCCCTCCACTCCCTTCTCCCGCTGCCCTGCGTTTCGTGTGGCTGTAATACCCTTTTATGACCTCGTGGGGCTCTTAACAACCTGTCCGAATGGCGTCGTAGAGGTAGCAGTTCGGCTGTTTCTCTCCGTTCTTTCATTCTGCTGAAGTTTAACTCGGTTTGTGCCAAGGGAAGTCCATGAGGGAGAAGCAAAGAATTTGTGAGGAGTGGGATAGGATAGAAATAAATAGATTCGGAGGATTATCAGTATGGCCATCTTATTTTTTTTTTTTCTTTTTCTTTTTTTTTTCTCACTAAGACACGCAAAGAAGCTGATAGAAATAACCGTGAATGAAACGTATGTCCAGTTTTGTCCAAGTCAGACCTTAGAATTTCACAGTATAATGCAGAGGGAGGATTAGGATGGTATTTACGCTGCATGCATGCGCTCTCTCTCTCTCTCTCTCTCTCTCTCTCTCTCTTCTCTCTCTCTCTCTCTCTCTCTCTCTCTCTCTCTCTCTCTCTCTCTCTCTCTCTCTCTCTCTCTCTCTCTCTCTCCCTCTCTCTCTCTCCCTCTCTCCTCTCTCTCTCTCTCTCTTCTCTCTCTCTCTCTCTCTCTCTCTCTCTCTCTCTCTCTCTCTCTCTCTCTCTCTCTCTCTCTCTCTCTCTCTCTCTCTCTCTCTCTCATGGTAAACGTGACGGGGGCATCTTGTGGGTTGCATGGTAGGAGGCGTAACACGAGACCGTAGGCAGTGGCCAATAAAGCTGTATGTATCACCCGCTGCCAGGCCGGTGCCGAACGTTTCCATTGGGCAGAGGCTTAAACGTTGTATGGGAGATAATGTTGATACCTGCGGGCATTCAGTAGGATATAGGCAAGGGTGAGATACTACCTGCATGAAGTAGGCCTATTACGATGTATGGCGATTGCTAATTCAGGTGAGGCAGATACACACTACAGTGAACCCTCGTTTTTCGCGGGGGTTACGTTCCAAAAAGAACTCGTGATAGGCGAAATCCGTGAAGTAGTAACCTTTATTTTTTTTTTTTTACAATTATTAGACAATGAAATACTCTACAATACATTGAAACTAAAGAACAATTTTTTATAGGCGCTAGCATTTGTTTAACAAATAAAAGTACTGTATAAACTTTTTTTTTACAAATAACTACTGTACTGTAAAATAATAATTTTAATAATCAATACGAACTGAAGGCTTCATGGGTTTTATAGAAAATTGGCAAACTTAAATTTGGCAAGCTATTTTACGTACATGTACATATTAAACCGTAACGTTATTGACACAGGTAGAGCAGAAGCGGATAGACTGTTTAGCCAATCAGAATGCAGAACACAATGCACAATGCAAATCCGTGAAGCAGCGAGAACGTGAAAGGTGAACCGCGTTATAGCGAGGGTTCACTGTATGTGCGTGTCTGCAAAGCGGAAACAACCAAATCATAGGTATATAAGATCATAAGAATGTGTGAAGTGAATAAAAACCTGATCGCTATTCAACAACGAATAACTGTATGCAAAAAATAGAAGATATATAAACAGCTACTGGCAATGAAGACCATATTTTAGCAGCGATAAAGGAGCCATGAACATGAAGCGAGACATTTGCTCACTAGTGGCAGAACAACGAGTACAGAATGAGATATTCATAACGTGTGTGACCTTGAGTAGTTGTCTAATCAGTATATAAAAACGCATGCAGTAAAGTTGAGAAAGATTAACGAATAGACTGACTTTTAAAAAACACGAGAAGCAGCGATAACAACTTGTTTTTTTTTCCCAGTAGCCCGGAATGCGACTTCAATAAGACCGCCTTTTGTAATTTACCGGTTTGAAGCAGGTTGGAACCGGTTGGGATTCTGGTCGATATTCTAAGTTTGTTGAACTTGGAGAAAAAAAGAGATGAACAAGTTATGCAGGCGCTGCTGTGTGTGGATTTCGTCGCATCAAGCTTCTGTCGTATTTTTAAAAGCCTACATTTGATTAACTTTTAGCCGGCACGAAAAAATAAATAAAAAAATGAGCGTGACCAAGCAGCCGCTGACATTCCTCTCTATCATTCATTAAAACTCGTCCGCTAAGATTGTGTTCTCAGAATAACCGTTTCTTTTGCCGCGTATTTTAGCTGTTGAAACTTTTTTTTGTTATTGATTTGGCTTTTTACTTTTTTATTCGGTGCTAATTTTAAGGATTGGGGTCGGTTTGTAAGGGAAGTAGACCAGTTACATCCGCTTAAACTTTTTTTCTCTTTTCTTTTTCTTTTTTTATCTTTTTGCCGGACATCCGATCCAGATCTGAAAGGGTTGAAAACAGATTCTCATAGATAATACATAGGCAGTTAACCGAATAAGTAGCCGTTTCCCGAAATTATCCACACAAACAACTCTATTGATCTATCTATTTGTCTCTACCTAACAACCTCTTTATCTTTCCATTTCTATTTCTCCCTTTTCATTCTCTCTCGCTCTCACAATTTCTTTAATAGCCATCATCATTTCTTTCCGCAATGACGTCACACTGAATTTCCTTTTTTTCCCTTCCGATCTGCTCATGACCGCCCCCCCCTCTCTCTCCCCCCCAGCCTTCCTGAACGGCGGAGGCTGCGGCTTTTGGGGCCGGCAAGCCCCCTCGGAGCCCAAGCGCGCCCCTCTGCCGACGGATAAGCCCCCAGATAGTTACACGCCGCAGCATGAGGCACAGCAGCAGCAGCAACAACAGCAGCAAACACAATTGCAGCAGCACCATCAACAGCAGCAGCAGCAGCAACAGTACATGCAACAGGAGCTGCAACAGCAATATGTCTACCAGAGAGAACAGCAGCTGCAGCAGGCACAGCAGCCTCAGCAGCAGGCGTACCACAGCCCGCAGCCGCCCCCGCAGAGTCAGCAGGTCAGTCGCGTTTTGTTTACGTATTTTTTTAAACATTCGCTATATGTGTCGTCGAGACTTTTGTTTTTGGTCGTATTTACTTGATTTTTCCTGATTTTAGGTAGTTTTATTTTTCATTTATGATTTCCTCGCTAAACAAGCATTATTCGGCGCAGTTTGGACAGTCGCTTGTTGAAAATAATTGAATTACAGAAGTGTGCAAAAAAAAAATAATAATAATAATAATAATAATAAAAATAAAAAAAATAAAAAAAAATAAAAAAAATCAAGAAAGAAAAGAAAGGTCGAAATTACAAAAGATTTTTCAAGTGTGAAAAAAATGTGTCCCTTAGTGACAAGGAGCCAGTGAACTTCAGAAACTGCTATCATAGTTTTCTTTAAAGTTCAGACCACGGACATCCGCCTTTTTAGAGTTCCATTTTATTTGTGAAGTTTTTTTTCCTCTTCTTTTTCATCGCGTAGTATTTCGGTATATAAAAAAGATAGATTTTTGGACGCCTTATCTCTGTCTGTCTGTCGTTCGCTCTCCCTTATGTGCATGGTTCTGTTATCTCGCCTCCTTCTCTTTCAATATTTATCTGTTTGCCCATCCACCCTTCGCTCCTTCCCTCTCATTTCTCATTTCTCTTTATATCTTTATGTCTGTCTCTCTGTTTGTCTATTTTTATCTATCCATCTATTTATTTGTGTATCTGTTTATACCCTTTCCCCCTCTGCCTTTCTTGTGTCATCTATCTGAGTGTTTGTTTGTTCTGTATAACTATCTGTCTTTGTTTGTTCTGTATAACCATCTTTGTTTGTTTGTTGTGTATAATCATCTTTCTTTGTTTGTTCTGTATAACCATCTTTGTTTGTTTGTTCTGTATAATCATCTTTCTTTGTTTGTTCTGTATAACCATCTGTCTTTATTTGTTTTTTCTTCCCCCTGTCTTTGTTTGTTTTGTTTTTTTCGTTCATTTTTTCTCGTAGTAACCTTCCCGTCTCCCTCTCTACAGGCTCTGGTGGCTTACCCCCCACCGGGTCTCAGGGAGAGCGGCCCCCACCCCTCTGTAGCGCCCCCTACGGCCCCCTCGCACGCCCAAACAGCCCAATCTATGCCCCAAACGCCATACCAGTACCCCTTTTATCTGCCCATGCAGGTGAGTCTCCCTAATGGCTGGGGAGGTGAAGTCCCCTTGCAAGTGTAGAGATCTGGCACCTGCATGTTTTTTTTTCTGGTTTCGAGAAGTGTTCCTCCTCACCCTCTTGAAACACTGCTGCTCCTGAAAAGTTTGCGATGGAAACCACGGGTGAAAATGGAGGTGGATGATGATGTGAAATGCTGGCAAAACGCAAAGAGAATTATGAATTGAAACATGGCCACTAAACATACTTTTTTTGTAGACTGTAACACGTATCACCACACTCATTCCTCTAAAAAAAAATCTTTGAGGTCCGAATGACTTGTGCCTTTATTATTGATTTATTTTTTTTTACATTTTTTCTTATTAGATTGCATATCATTTCAAGCTGTTTGTTCTGTTGATTCATAATCAAGATTTACTATCCGTTTTTTCTTTGCATGCTTTTTCGTTAACCAGGCTGTATGTGATTGATGATTTGATTGATCCAAATGAATGAGAGATTATCAATTATTTCCGTTTTTTCTGCTCTTGTTCTTGATCTACATCCCGGTGCCTTCTTGCTCGCACGAATGCATTTGGGATCATAGCATGTGGCTTTGATGCTGCCCGCAAGACAACGGAATTCTCAGAGTCACCTTTGGAAATGAAAGATATCAGAAGAACAGTGCAATACAGAGACATTATTCTTTTGTTGGTTCCAGAATTGTAGAGTAACTTTTGAAAATGAAAAAAATATATTAGAAGAACTGTGTAATTATTATTCATTTGTTGGTTCCAGAATTGTAGAGTAACTTTTGAAAGAAGAACAGTGTAATACAGTGTCATTATTCTTTTGTTGGTTCCAGAATTGTAGAGTAACCTTTGAAAATGACAAAAATATTAGAAGAACAGTGTAATACAGGGACATTATTCTTTCGTTGATTCCATTGTGCTGGCCCTAAGTGAAGGTCTCCTTTCAGCAGCTGCCAATGGGCATGGGGAACCTTAACGGAGCTCCTGTATACCTGGTGATGCCTCCTGGCTCGGGGCCTTCTGCGGCCGGAGGAGGGATGCCCTCCGGACACGCCGGCGCCCCTGGCTTCCTGCCGGAGTTCCTCAGGAATTTCCAGTTCCCTTCCGACCAGGGCGGGGCAACCATCTACGAACTGCCCGAAGGAGGACATTACAACAGGAATCATGTACGTTGTGTGTGTACGTGTGTGTGTGTGTGTGTGTGCTACGAGTACAGGTGTTTTTGTTTGTGTATTTAATGCATCCTAATGGAATAACCGTCACAACCACTTCATTGTTCCCTGCCACCAAAGATACTTAATTAGGTAATGTAGAAAAGGTATGAATGAGAATGAACATCTTCACAATACAAGAGATGTATTTGACCGGTCTCGATTATATCTTCATCAGAAGATATAATCTCATTCATACCTTTTCTACATTTGTCAACATGAATACGGTTCATTAATTAGGTAAGTTAAGCAGGTAATT